GACAGAATGCATATCGCTGCTTATCTACTTTATTTATTCATTTATTTTTGTAAACCATAAAAAGGATTTGAACCAGTAAGTCAGAGATATTTGGTTATTTTATTTGGACATAATCAGGTGAGTAAAATCCCCCAGAGATTTTTTTCCTGGGCTATATTTTATTTCTTCATATCTGTAAGCAAATGTTCATTCCAGCTGTGAGGAAGGAAAATATTCATTATTGTATCGCAACACATGGCCATCACACTGACAGGCTGTGTTGCGCCTCATTAATCACTTGTTCTGCTTCAGGATCCAGACTTTACCAAGTGTTACATATTATTGTCCATATGTCTTTAGTGACAGCCTCAAATGAGTTTAGATAAAGTTTGGAAAACAGATGAGGAGAAGGACTTTCTAAAGATGAAGATCTTGTGGACCTGGACTGCTAACACTGATGTGCTCACAGCGTCTCTCTCTCTCTCTGCCACTCTCATAAATATTAACTACAAACCCAAAGTACAAACACAGGCTATCAATAATGCAAGCCCCCTGAAGCGGTTCTTCCCAAATAATTGCAGCTACAAGCCAAGTCCTGGAGACAGCATCTGAGGTGTGTTACTGCTGTGATGCCAACTGCCTCATTTTCCCTAAATAATAATTTCACATAGGGAGTAGAAGCATTGCAGGGCACATTGGTTTGCATGTTTCTCTGGCTATAATGGCAATGTGGTAGCTGTACTGTACCTACACTGTACCTAAGCTTGTTGAGAAAAGAAGGAAAAGGAAAATTGTCTTTAACAAGCTCCTCATCCAAAAATTGACAAACTGAAGGAAACAAGAATTGTGGATATGAAATGCAACACAAAGTCAAGGCACACTTTTTATGGCCTAATTTCTGTAGAACAGCACAGTGTTATGTTGGTTAAATTGTGGTCAAGAATTTGCTGTTACAGGCAAGCAACCTTTGTGCCTTTGGCCGAAATTAATATAAAAACATCAGATATGCAGCTGTTTAGCAACATACTGTAATAAACAGACCAACACTTTAGTTACACTGGGAAATGCAATTAAACACTCCTGAGAGAAGAAAGCCATGAGCAAGAGGGACATACAAGTGCAGAACTAATCAGTAAATAGCACATACATTTCATGAATATGCTTCTCACAACAGCTAGGCTGAAAAGTCATAAGTTATTCCAGCAGCATCTACAAACCACGACATAAAGTCTGCCTCATTAACAAACCCAAACCAAAATTACTGCAGAAAATTATTACAAGCTACACCTGTATGTGTAATTCATGCAGTTAACATGCATCTGCCAATTTATTGATCCAGCACTATACTGTTCATCAACCTCCAGCAGTGTTAATACACAGGCATGTCAACAGGCTGCATAATATGTACATTTGGGTAAAAGTATTAAAAGGGTATTGATAATTGGACCCAGAACAATCAGCCTCCTTTGACCCCTAATCTATGACTTTTTCCACACAAGTACTGACCCTTAAAACATCAAGGTCAAAGGTCAAAGTGTTTGTCATATATGCACAGTTAGTAAACATGTTTCCCTGTACAATGAAATTCTTTCTTTGCCGTCCACATGAATGCCACAAAATACAAATGAAATATAAAGTAGATGAATAAGTAACACAAAATCTAAGGCACTTTAAGCAGCAAATGCAGAGATATAATAAAAATATATAAGAATATAATAAGAGAATGTATGCTACATGGGAGCAGCATGTGCAGCAGTCAACAGTCAATGTGCAATTATGCATGTGCAAACTGAGAATATAAACAGTACAGATCATCAGTACATGACGTATTTCCTGGTAAACCCCTGTCAGCTCTTTAGCAGTCTGATGGCAGTCTGAAAGAAAGATTTTTTCAGTCTAGAGGTCCTGCATTTCACACTTCTGAACCTCTGGCCAGAGGGTACGGGTATGAACAGTTTGTGCTGGGGGTGGGTGGAGTCTTTGAGGATGGAGACAGCTTTCCTATGCACCCTGCGGTAGTAAATGCTCTGCAGAGAGGGCAGTGGAGTCCTGGTGATCTTCTCCGCAGTCTTTACCACTCTCTGCAGGCGCTTGCGGTCCATAGCAGTAGTGC